AGCCCATTCCGACAGAACTCCAAAGTTAAGCGTGCTCAACTTGGAGTAGTTTCAGGATGGGTGACCGACCGGGAAGTTGGTCCCAACTATGCACGAGTGAGGACAAAGTGTGCAGAAAAGACTAGTATTGATCTATGGGGCCAGTCTAGATCTCGCCAGGAGTAACGACCACCGGCAGGTGTGTCCGGGGCGTTACAAGTTGGTATCAGAGCCGACCCTCGCGGTTACACGGATGGTTGCGGACAGGTGCGTGGTCATGTTGTTCATGACGTTTGTGATCTGTCGTGGCACATGGCATGGCACATGTATTGGACTGGAAACACAGACGTATGTGCCAAGAGGGAACGTTCCTATGGCCCGACGAGGACGTCGATTCCTCTGAGTGGGGGTGTATGTGATGGCCTGGCTTATTAGGGATGATAGACTACTCATATCAATAAGGAATTCCTTCTTTTTCGGAAGCCCATTCCGACAGAACTCCAAAGTTAAGCGTGCTCAGCTTGGAGTAGTTTCAGGATGGGTGATCGACCGGGAAGTTGGTCCCGGGTGTGCACGAGTGAGGACAAAGTGCGCAGAAAAGACTAGTATTGATCTGTGGGGCCAGTCTAGATCCCGCTAGGAGTAAAGACCACCGGCGGGTGTGTCCGGGGCGTTATAATAACAGCATGGAACAATTAATAGATATATTGGAGACGTATCAAGGCACCGGGACTACCTAGGTTACAGATGTGATCGGTTGCCAAGTTGGAATAAACATGCTGGCTAATAGAACTCTCCTTGAAGTGCACGCCTAGTCTTTGGAAGTTTCCATCTTGCTCACGCCAAGGGCCACGGCTTCGGTAATCCCTTCTCAAGTGATCGGTGGGCCATTAGCTCGGCCCATAGATGACATGTTGTACAGGTTAGCACCCCTTAGTCCACGACACCCTCAGTTGGTGGAATGGGTGTGGGCATATATAGGCAGCACAAAAAATCTAACCGTTACAAACCTTTATGCACTACTCGGTGGGACCTGATGTAAACACGGTGAGACCAATTAGTACGAAAGGTTTGAACTTTAGGCTTTTCAATGAGACTGGATGGAACAGCTCGGTGAGACTGATGAGTGATGACCTAATCACTTTCCACACTTCAGTGAGACCGATTGAAACTACTCAAAAATTTTGAGATGAAATCGATAGATGATACGTCTCCAACGTATCTATAATGTTTTATTGTTTCATGCTATTATATTATCAATCTTGGAGGCTTTATATGCTTTATTATGTTATTTTTTATCATTTTCGGGACTAACTATTAACTCAGTACTTAGTGTCAGTTATTGTTTTTTTACTTGTTTTTGGCCTTTCAGAAAATCAATACCAAACGAAGTCCAAACACGATGAAACTTTACGGTGATTTTTTCTGGACCAGAAGGGACACTAGAATGTTCGGGAGGAGGCTAGAAGATGTACGGGAGAGTGACGAGCTCACCCGGCGCGCCCCCTGAGCTCGTGGGTCCCACACATCTCCGTTTGACCTAATTCCACCTCTATAAATTCCCAAATATTCCCAAACCAACACAGGGCCACCCGAAACACTTTTTCTGCCACCGCAAGCTTCTGTCCTTCCGTGATCCCATCTAGAGGCCTTTTCCGCTACTCTACTGGAGGGGGAATCGATCATGGAGGGCTTCTACATCATCCTTGTTGCCTTACGATGATGTGTGAGTAGTTCACCACAGACCTATGGGTCCATAGCTAGTAGCTAGATTACTTTTTCTCTCTCTTTGATCTTCAATACCATGTTCTCGTTGATCTTCTTGGAGTTATATCCGATGTAATCTTCTTTTGCGTTGGGATCCGATGAATTGTGGGTTTATGACCAGATTATTTATTGAAAGTAGTTGACTCTTTTGTGAAATGTATTATGCATCATTATTATAGCTTTGTATTTCTCTCTGATAAGTCTGTTTGGTTTGGCCAACTAGATTGATTTATCTTCAGTGGGAGAGGTGCTTTGTGATGGGTTCAATCTTGCGGTGTCCTCACCCAGTGACGGAAAGGATAGCGAGGCGCGTATTTGTATTGTTGCCATTAAGAGAAAAACAATGGGGTTTATTCATATTGCTTGAGTTTAATTTGTCTACATCATGTCATCATACTTCATGCATTACTCTGTTTGTTATGAACTTAACACGTAGAGAGGCCGTAGAAGCGCTCTCGAGGTGGAGTAATGGTAGTAGATGCAGAGTCGTTTCGGTCTACTTGTCACGGACGTGATGCCTATATACATGATCATTGCCATGAATAATGTCATAACTATGTGTTTTCTATCAATTGCCCAACAAGAAATTGTCTACCCACGATATGCTATTGTTTTGAGAGAGAATGCTCTAGTGAAAACTATGGCCCCGGGTCTACTTTAATCATATGGCTAAAACCAAAAATACATTGTTGTAATTTATTTACTTTTATTTTTATCTATCGACCACTATCAGAATTAATCCTTGCAAGTAACGAGTTCAAGGGGATTGACAACCCGCTTGCCCGCGTTGGGTGCAAGTATTTGCTTTTATGTGTGCAGGTGTTGTTCACTAGGATTTGCGTTATTCTCCTATTGGTTCGATAACCTTGGTTATCACCGAGGGAAATACTTATCAGCTACTATATTGCTTCACCCTTCCTCTTCGGGGAAAATCGCAACGCGGCTCACAAGTAGAAATAGGCGACAGAAGGTTGGCAAGTGCTCTTCGGCGAGGCCGAATGGTCATCTCAGTGAGACTGAGTTGCTAGGGTTTAGGCAGTGACTATGTCAAGTGTAACTCGGTGGATCCAGGTAGGTGTGTTTTGGTGGGACTGAGTTTGACGTTAGGGTTTAGGACATAGTTGAATGTGATAGTGTGGTTGAGGGTTTTGGAGTAATATCTCTAAGCACTTGAGCAGTTAGTCCATGATCAAAACCTTGTTCATTTAACCAAAAATGTAGAGTCTTGAAGCTTTGCCAATGTTTGTCCTTTTTCATTTTGAGGAGTTCAGATTCACATCCCATTGCCATACCTAATTGAACTTTCTCGAAATATTCTTTGAGTAGACATTAGTTCAATGATGTATATGTTGTTATGAATCAACAAAACCACGCGACGATTAGTTGCACTTTCAATAGCCATTACAGTCTAGCAGGTGAAAAGCAAATTGAAAGAATGAAAGTGTCGAATAGTAAACAACGACGCGGGAGCTTCTCCAGGCCATCCGATGAAGGATCGACGGTCTATAGAGCGTGGCATTTGTTGCTTTGCTTTATCTCGTAGGAATTTGTCCTGCCCTATAGTTTCTCTTCTCGCTGATTTTAATTTTCAGGGTTTTGTTCTTCATGTTGCAAGAAGCTATTGAGCTCAAATTGCATGTCCTTGGATTTACTCTCACGCCTATAAGACCATAGGAAGATCACACTTGCATCATACAGGACTGGAAGCTTTTGATCTTTTGGTGAACGGTGCATCGACAAGGCGCATCGACAAGCCGCTTCATGATATAAGTCTACATACAGCAGGACCCTTCCTCTATTCTCAATGTAACTGGAGCTCTCCAGTTTGTTGTGGCTGATGTGAATCAGCTTAATTATAGAAAGTTTTAATTTGTAGAAAGTCATGTTTTGCATGGACAATTTGACACAGCATCACGGCTTCTGATCTAGATGGCTCATCAGGCAGCATCTTGCTCATTTCTTCAGCTACACAGTGCAGATTTCTTCGGTTATTTTAGGTCTAGCCTACTACGATTCTCATCAGGTTCTTACTTCCAATGTGGAACTTGTCTTTAGATGTTTCAGTCAAGCTCATAAGCCATTTAGTTGTCCTTCTTGCGACATCTGTTATTGCTTAATTGCCCAGAAGTTGTAATCTTTGTTGTGTGATGTACTAGAGCTTGATTTGAAATGAACTTGGCGCCTTGAGCGCCTCTTCTTTGTTAAAAGAAAGGATCGATGGACAAGAGGAAATCAAGTCGGCGAACCACAATCTTGAGAGGAGAGCCATAGGATGACCGATCAACGGCTCTTTAGAATAAGAAACGAGCAGTTGAAAGACTTAGACAACTCCTTAAGATAGGTAGTTAGGTGCCATATCCTTTTTTAACGGGCAAGGTATTATAGCTCTAAAATATCAGATATATGGGAGGACGAAGTCCCCTTGGTCACTCCTGGTTTCCCGGGGAACTGCAGGCAGTGCACTGCTAGGTCGTGTTAACTGCTTAAATCACTGCACTTTGTAACAGCATCATTAGACAGGTTGATTCGTACATGCGAAGGAGCTGCAGAGGAACAGATATGAAGCAGCGCAGAATAAATCCTGAAGAAAATGCAAGTTACATATGGTGAGTAAAACGGGATGTGCTCTTACTCAAAAGAATGTTCTTCAAAATCGATGCAGAGGACACAAATCCACTGCATATATATTATCATCCTGCTAAACCACTGTAATCAACTCAACATATCTGAGAAATATCTTGCCACGGCAATTTTGATTCTTTCGCTATAATTCTATTTCATGACATCACTTGAACTAAGGAGAATGGACTAGAGTTTAATTACAAATAAACACATGTTCAGAAGAAAAAAGGATGAAAATTGAATACTACTTTCCTGTTCGCTCCTGTTATTGCGTTATTGACTGGCTAACACAACACAGCGCCAATTACATGATATATTTATCTAAGAGGATGCTACTAGATAACATCACATCTGAAGGGTGAGCCAGGGTTTAGGACCAACAGCAAGATGTTGAAAACCCCTGCCCTTCATTGAAACATTTTGATCTATAGCTATACAAGAAACTCATGTATCGACAAAAGCTTTGCGGCACAACACAAGCATTGTCTCATACAAACTTCTGCTGACTGAAGCCAAATGCACGGCACGGCTAGTAGAGAAGATCAGCAAGCTCGAAGAATCTGCATTTAATGAGTTTAGCAAGTTATAGAATGTGCATTTGGTAGAGAATATTCTGAAAACAAAAAATATGCTCAATGTACCGCAGAGGCAGCATTTTTGTTTTGCACAGTCAACATGACGGCATCGAGAAAAGCCTTTGCAGCTTCAGCCTCAGCTTCTGCAGCTTCTGCAGCCCTTGCTGCTTCTTCGGCCTCCGCATTGGCAACTTCTGCCTCAGCAACTGCCTTGGCAGCAAATGCTGCTGCCTCTTCCTTATTCATGTGTGTCATCATATCGAGTTCAGCATCCACTTGAGGCTTAGTTAGTTGTCTAATACAAATATTTTGTTTGTCGTCTTCGGTTGAGTGCACCTTGGTGCTCCTTCCACCTAGCGAGACTGAACTCGGTGCAATTCTGTATTTTTGGTTGGACTGTAATAAAACCATGATTAAAATAGAAGCAACTAAAATGTGCACTTCTATTGTAGTTCGATACATGGTAGACCACATATTCCCGCACGAGTGCATGCACAGTCAAAGTACCTTCATCAATTTTCCAGTAACAACCAGTGCCTTCAATTTTGTTGATAGTAAGCGTTGAAAATCAGCAGGTGGCCAGTATTGCTCCTACATATAGAGACAAGTCTTATTAGAGTCATCTGCAAAATCACTAAAGATTGCTTCAGAGAAGTCTCGGATTCCCATGAAGAACAAGATAAACATTTCAGTAAAAGCAAATAACAAAAGAAAGGAAATATTGACTGTCGGGACAAATTTGAGGTACCTCAAAACTCAAGCAAATAGTATCGATCAAGGAAATAAAAGAAGATATTAGGGAGTGGCGATCATTACAATTACCTCAATGTATGAAGCGATGGCCGTTTTATTTGATCCAGAAGACTCCTTAAGCTTCTTTATAGCTTCCAATATGAGATCATCAAGCCTACGACCAAACATTTTGGAATAATGTTAAGAATGCTCAGAGGCGGTACTCGCATAAAGTGAAAAATGGCTAATAAGCAATATCTGGATGGTTTCCTCAACTTGAAGCATTACATCAGTTCATTATCAATAAAAAAAGGTTAACTGGATAGATGCCACTGCAATTTTCATGTATTCAGAAAATGTCACTAAATTTCCATCTTTCGAAAAATGCCACCAGACCTTCCAAATACTCCCTCCGAGGCTCCGATTCTTTTTTCTCTGTGCATAAGAACCAGCCCGCATACCAAGGAGGCAATGCTTGGGCTTTTTTTAGACTGTTTTGCCCCTGCGTTGATGGCAAGGAAACTGACATGCAATAAATTCGCTAGCGAATGATTGGCCCTTCTCTGCATGCGCCCCTGGCCCGCTTTGCATGCCGCTGGATTGCCCACTAATTTCTCTCTACACATGCAACAGGTTGGCTCATGCATGCAGCGGATTAGACGGGGAAAAGCGGAATAGAGGGGCAGCATGGAAAGAGAGGGCTAAAAGAAGGGAACACGCAGACTATTGCAGAAAAAACTGAGAAAACTTATACGCAGACAAAATAGAAACGGAGGGAGTACATCTATAGATGCTACTATAGCCACTTAAGGCCAAGTTTTATCAAAAAATAGAGGCTGTATTTGTTCCATATTTTCTCATGGACACAAATGCCCACGCCCCATCAACTCAAAAGAAGAAAAAAACCTAAATAACTTCCCACTCTCTCCGTTCTTCTGCCGCCGGCACCCATTGCGTCTCTTCGGGTGCCGCCGCCCTCCCGACCTCCTTTCTAGTACTTCCGCTAATCTCGTGATGTGATGATCGTATAGTTCTTCGCCCAGAGGATGTTAGCCCTCATGGACTTCGGGTTTGCCATGTTCACCTCGACAGTACTGGAGAAGGACGCCTTCGGGTTGGGCTCCTCGACCATCTAGGGCAGCACGATGAGGCTCCTACAGGCAGCACCGCACGCACTTCCATGGTCTCCATGTCCCTCAGGTAGAGGCACTGTGCTGCCAAGGCAGCCTGCATCCTCACCTCGTCGGAGTTGGTAGGATCCAGTAGGCAATGCCCGACAACCCCAATGCCGGCTGGAATAACTCCCACGACAGCGGCATCTACGGCCAATTCTCCTTGCCGCCTCAGGTGCAGGCGATGTGTGTCGCTGCATGCTCCGCCAACCACGCGTTGCAGAACTCGCTGAAGTCCATCTTGGTAGAGAGCGCATGCGTGCGAGCTTGCCATGGTACAGCTCCAGCAATGAGCCGATGATGTTGGTGCGACGCATGGGCGTGCATGGCGCCGTGCGGCTCCGGTGTGGGGGCGAGCTTAGCGACATCAGGCTCAGGATTGGCAGCAGCCTTGGTCAGCTTGGCTGCAGGCGCCACCTCCACCGCCTTGAGAGCGTCGTGGTACACACCGGGGCAGCGTCGTGGTCTTGGGCTCCCCAGGCCCTGCTACACCACGGCATGCGTGTAGGGGGTGAGGATAACAACCTCGAAGGCTCGAACTCGATAAGCAGCTTTCGGGAGACGGCGTGGGACATGTACAAGCCCGTGGGGACCGGGACGAAGCGTACCACCGCGAGCTGGAGTGTCAGGAGGCTAGACTGGAAGGTGTCGTAAAGCCAGCCATAGTGGGCGTTGTGGCCAGCGTTTGAGGCTTTCAGCCCACGATGCCGAGGCATCCTGTGATGACATTGGCGACGTTGTCATCGTGGAGGAGTGCGGAACAGGTCATGCTGCTGGGTGCGAACTGCGGGAAGCTGCGGGAGAAGAGAAGCGGGCAGCACATCGATTCGTGTCGGGCTGATGGGGCAAGGACATTTGTGTCCTTGGAACAGACGAAACAAAATAGGGGTACGGTATTTGACCGTATATGTGCTTAAGTGGCTATAATGGCATATGTAGATGCATTGAAAGTCCTGATGGTTTTTCCAATATGTGAAAATTGCAGTGGCATAATAATATGCAAAGAACTTAACTGTGCAAAGATATTGACTCTTCATAGCAAGTCAACTTAAACATAGCAGTGAATTGCACAATGTACACAGTACTGTCGTCATGTGGTTAAATATACAATACTAAACTTCAAAAAAAATCAAAAAAAAATACAATACTGCCTGAGTTTCTTAATATGTGTGTTTCCAACTAGATTTATTTCAGGAAATGGTGAAGCGAGTTTCACACATAAGACTTCAAGCAAATGAACAGTTACCGTAGACCTGACTAAAAACCTCAACTATAGAATAGAGAGGAAAAATATATTTAAATGCCCTATAGCACAGAATATGCATCCACCACATAATAATACATCAAGCAATGGCCTAAAAATGGCTTTTCTAAATATATTGAACTACATGCACAGCATGTTATATGTACCTATGCTACCAAAAGTATATATTACCCCCCTCCGTTCACAAATATAAGATGTTAACTTTTTTGTGAATCGGATGTATATAGACACGTTTTAGTGTGCTTGTTCCCTCATTTCATTCCGTATGTAGTCCAGAGGAAGTACTTATTTAACCAGCGTTAAAAATTATTAATTTATGTCTGAACTTACAAAACCCACTGCCCAACTGGTGCACTGAGAGGCAATAAACATGGCCATGTAGATGGGTTCCATATCTGCATGGTCTCTGGTTGTAATCATGCCATCAATTTAGATTCTCTTATGGGAGGTCATTCTAATAGTGTTGTCACTAATCCGGTAATAACAGAAACTCCCACACGCCTGTCGCCTAAACCCTCAAGTGGGCCAACTCAGGGGGGCGAACCCTAGCCAGCACTAGGGGCTCGCCTTCTTCCCCTGCCACCGCTGGTGGAAGCCGCCCGCCGGCCACAAGTGCCAGGATCTCGCTTCCTCCAATTCCAGGTAGCTGCTCCCTCGCCTCCTCAGCCCCAATCTTGGCACCGAGAGCGCAGCGGCCTCATCTAGCAAGGCAGAGGGCTGACAACAGTTTTAAGCGAGAGATGGCAGCTTGGGGTGTTAGCTGCATCCCTCCTTGCCTGCATGTCAGGAGCTAGAATTGGTGCATCAGGTTGACGGTCTGGGCGATGGCAGTGCCCACCTCCAAAGCTTGTGGGATCCCGTGGAAGCCAGTGTGGTAGCATGGTAGCGGCATTGGCATAGTAAGGGCGGTGGTGCCTCATCAATGCTTCAACATGTCCTAAGGCCAAAGTTTGGCACAGCTGTGAGCGATGATTGACGCTTCTTGTGCTTGCTCGACTAGCGCTGTTAACATTGCATTGCAAGGGCACGTGGCTTCGGTCCGTGGATGGTGTTGTGGGTTCGCTTCAGCGCCTAACATTGGCTTCTCAGAACGGCAAAAGGTAGGGTTGCGGGTGTGTTGGTATGGGGTGGTGGACATCGAGGTAGTGGCATGTAAAAACGCTCTTGCTTTTGGCCAGACCTAGCAGCCCAGCCCGTGTGCACCAATTCCCTGCCACAAAAACCTATGGAAGGTGGATTTGGCTCAGAATGATCTCTAGTAGCCATAGCAGGCTTTTCGTGCCAGTTAAGTTTAAATCGCTAGATCAAGGAGTGATGGGTGACGTGGATGTTTCCTGGACCACCTCGACGATGTTTCCGCAACAATGTGTGTCAAATCTTCATTGGTGACAAGGCCAGCCAGAGTGCCCTGTTGTCGATGGCTATGTGTGTTATGCAGGTTTTCACCTGATTTTACTTTAATTAACCGGGGAACTCTCTTCTGCTTATTTAATACAGTAAGGCCTTTTGACTCTTGTACAAAATTTGGTAATGATAGGACACTATGACTTTTTCATAATTACCAAGTCAAGAGAAAATATCATATCATTAAATCGAGTTGTCACAGGAAAATCATGTGATTTAAATATATATCTCAATTTTCTACGTGTGTCCATATGTGAAGCCCTAGACTAGCTGTCTCAAAGATAGGTGACAGGTCAGCAACTCGAAGATGGTATGCATAGAATTTCCATTCCAATCAACTTATGAACCTAAATGGCTACGGGTCAACACCTATCAATTTACATTGATGGAACAATTTTGAAAATAAATACACAATTGATAATAATAAATTTAATATGGAACAAGTTTATTTATACACTAACCTAGCAACTGACTTCTCTGAACTGCATTCACGCTGGCTGGGTTCAACAACCACTGCCAATGGTTTTGCATCAATGACTGTATCATGAACATTGTCCAGATTATCTGCATCAACGTCCATTGGTTCAGTGTTAACCTTGGGAACACGCTTGCCTTGCTTCAACGCCATTCTTGCCTTTTCTCTTGAGCCATATCCTCCAGCAGTAACACTCAAGTTGCGCCACTTGTCCTGCACAATCGGACCAGACCAATCAATAAGATTCATTCACACTCAATGATACGCAGACACATATTTATGGGAGTGCCTAGGACTCATCTAGATGAGATATAATTTGGTCTCATTCACCTGAAAACAAAAACAGATAAAAATAGTACTACAAACCACATCAGCACACACGCATCTTATAGTATCAATCCAATGGCTATAAAAGTGAATGAGACATAACTAAAACTCAGCTAGATGAGTTCTAGCAAAGCCGCATATTTATTCCTGGAAACCAAGACTGGCAACAGACAGCTGGTTGAACATTGCAACTGTTTACTATAACTGCTACGCAACTTAGTGTCTTAGTCAAAAGTTAATAAGAACAATAAAATTTGACCCATTTCAATCATCATTTGCATCTCAAAGAACTACCTGTACTATTTTTCATCTTAACGTAACTTAATCAAACAATATAGCAAAATCAGCAACACCAGAAGAGGAAACAAACGTCAGACAACGTAAAGCCAACTTGTTTCATCATGCTAACTATCCTTGACTTTCCTTAGAAAAAAATGTATGAAATAAGTTCTAATGGAAGAAACTTCCATAGTAATGTCGGATCCTGACACCAAGGTGAACAATGTGTCTATCGAGAATTAATGGGGCAACTCAGTCAGATACATTTCAGTTCACCACAGCACCAGTTGAGCAAAGGAGAGATTTCCCTGCTGATCTGTCCATTATCGTGAAAATTGTCCCACAGAGAAACATTTCCAATTGATTAGCCAATATGAACATGAACCCCCTAAATCTCGCGATCTGGTACAAAAGCCGCAATCGTCAACCCAAATAGACGCGAGATTTCCTGCTCTTCCCAACCGATCGCCAACACCCGTCGCCACAATTTTCAGGCGCAAAAGAGCAACCATCCCGGCGCCGATCCGATCGGAAAGGGGGCAATGATCTCCGCGACCCACCTTGAGGTCAACATTGGATCGGAGGCGCAGGACGGCGCTGAAGTCCGTGTCGCGGAGGATGGTCCGCCACTTTCCCGGCCCGTGCTTGGCCACGCCGGCCTTGAGCGCGGCTTCCTCCTCCGACGTCCACCTCTGCTTCGGCGCACCCATCCCACGCACGTAGAGCACCGCGGCGCGGCCAGAAACCGCGCCCCCGCAACAACCAACCCCCAAGGGTCTCGTCTCGTCCTGCCTCCTCTAGGGCAGCGGCGTTATTGATGGGGGCAATTCGATGGATTCGTCCGGCAATTCGGCGGAGGATCCGACGGGACGAGGGTCAGGAGGCGATCGGGGTGCGGGGAGTAGGCCTAAGATTGCACCGGAGATCGGGAGGCGGAGGGGTTCTAGGCGAGGGTGGCATGAGATGAGGAGGAGGAAGAGGGGTGGGAGGCAGCCATCGTCAAGGCTTTGGAGCTGGAGGTTATAAACAGAAGGGGATTAGTTGCTGTGTCGTCCTTATTTTCCCTTTCTTTTAGGAAATGGGATTTTTCTTTTGAGAAGTATAATAGGGAATGGGATTAATTGGTGTCGGGTACTAGAGCTCGTTGCTGTTGGTCCGAGCGGCTGATCCATCTGTGTATGCATGTGGGACCGATAAGTGGGAGAAGAATACCCAGTCACCCCTCCAGGTTGGTTTTCTCTCCCACAACAAAAATCAAATCAAGGAACTATAAACAATGCTACGATTTTTTTTTCTCAAAAAGATATCAGATCTATTATAAAAGTTTTACAAAGCTTCTCAAGCACTAAAAATTACATCGAAATTCTAAAACCAACTACTGACGTCAGAACAAGCCGCTAACACGTTGTTTGTCGTCGCCCTTATACCAGAGCCGGCTTAGATCTTCTCAATGACAGTCGGATAGTCTTCATGCACATGCCCATTAGGACCAGGGCCTTGGAGTCGCAGTCATCACCGTTAAACACTTGCATACATCTAAAGTGCCTGACATCAATCTCACCGCATGAGGATAAAACCTAACCTAACCGCCCCACGCAGACGGCAAAAATCTACGTTGGACCTCCGCCGACTATGTCCAGACGGACGAAATGAAAAAGCGCCGCCATCACCCGAGCGCCACACCTGCGAGACTAAGAGCCTGTTTGGGACTGTTCTGCTCCTTAAAATTCAGCTTCACTCCAGAAAACACAAGCCAAACGGGGTAGCTCCATGATATGCCGCTCCGCAAAAAACTAGAATCTGGGGTACAACTCTTAGTTTTTTATGAAGCTTTTCAGTGAGTGCTCCAAAAAACTCTAGAACCTGGAGTTGGGTGGAAATTACCCACCACTGCCACCAGTAAGTGGATATCCCTTCGTTTCTTTCCCCTCAACCAATCAAATAGATCCTTTCCACCAAATTTCTCATTCTTGAAGCTGGAGCTAGATGGCAACCAAACATTCCCTTTAATAGTACTACAACTTCTAAATGAAACCGCTCCAAAATGAATTTAGTGAAGTGAAATCGATTTTTATGAAACGGAGCAGTCCCAAACAGGCCCTAAAAAACAATAACCTAAACTACTAACCGAAGCAAGGACACCTGGATTTCTCTCCCGGCCACCGACCGCCGAAGCAGCAGAGGGGAGGCAAATCCACAGCCTCGCTGGTCTGGAGCGATAGACCTTGACAAGGACGTACGAAAGCAACGAGGATCTGAATCCACAACAGTATGACCTATGGTAGTACTCCCTTCGTTCCAAATTACTTGTCACGGGTATGGATGTATCGAATTTTGCCATGAAATTTAACGGACCAGAAAGTCTCTTTTGTTGTCAGCAAACAAATGCCTTGTTGTGATCTTCATCGGTTGAAGCCGCCTGTTCCTGCCCGGAAAACTTGTTCTTGCTTGGTTACGGAAGGTACTTCCTCCGTTCCGAATTATTCGTTGCAGTCGCAGAAATAGATGTATCTAGATGTATTTTAGTTCTAGAGACATCCATTTCTGCGACGAGTAATTTGGAACGGAGGGAGTAGTACTGTACAGCACGCGGTGCACTCAGTAAGAATCGTTAATACTGTTTCAATTCAGGTCGTCACATACATTCTCTTCTTCGAGGGGGACCAAATTCTCCTTACAATATACAGCGCATGAAATAAACATCAGCTGCAATTATGTTCTATCATTTTCGTCACCAGATTTGGCATGCCTCAGAAATTTGAACCATTTCCAGTTTGCATAAAGTGTCGCTTCATTATCAAACGGAATAGTTTCCCCTCGAAGGTCATAATCTAATTTAGTGTTCCGAGAGACAACTGGAAGCTGCTCCCGGTACCTCTTTGCCATTTCCTGAGCTTCTGAAAACACCTTCTGCATTAGCACAAGACAAATGGTACTAAGAAAAGATACACATGAGAGAACTGTCAAAGAAACATAAAATGTAATTCAGTCTCACCGCTTTATCTGACAGAAATAAACCAGGAGCACTCTCCAGGTCTGCTATGCTGTTAATTAGGTAGCAAAATAAATTTCAGTGTTTTACCATATCTGATGACAAAATCTTGCTACAAACTAGTACGAACAAAGAATTTTGAAAGCTGATTCCACTACACTGTTTTAAAACTGTTAGTTGGCAGCTGAATAATCCAGTGCATCGTGTTGTGACGGTATTACCTGAGTGCAATTTTGTCAGAAACATTTGACTTGATCACCAGAACTTTCAGCTCATCATCTACTTTTAGGATGTCGCTTACTGACAAGACACGGCCTTGACTAATGTTGGAGATGTGCAGTAATCCACTGCATAAGAGTAGTTCAATACACTATTATTTACTTCCTTCTTAAAAAAAGAAAACAAGGCATCATCTTGTTAGCTTATGATTGGCTACACAACATCATGTTTTATCATCTACTTAGTTTTCAGCCATTGTTCCAGGTCCTGTTGCAATCAAATGCAGGAAAAAACTTCTGCAACTACAGCTGTCTGTCAAAAAAGCTATGACACGTCAAGGTTTAATATCTGACATGCATCTTCTTAATGCTTAAATATGAGGTATATATGTAACCAATATGCGATAAAATTCAATGTGCCTGTTGTAATCAACTGATCACAACGCTTAATCGCTATAAATTTAGACCACTTGAGTTTCATTAATATTTCTTTGCATAAATACTAAATTGGTTAAATTTAAGTGTAACAAAATGAGGAGCAACAATATAAAAAAAGGCAATTCATGCTTAGATTTTCAAATGTAATTGTACATTTAGCAAAACAGGAATCTGCTTTGCAACCATTCAGCTTGTACCTTCTGTTGGTCCCCGTTATCCTAACTTGCGCACCATATGGAAAAATCTTGTGTACATTCCCTTTTAGAAGAGCTCCTTCTTTAAGATATGTCATTTCCTGAAGAATGTGCTCTCAGTATATCAATACTATCATTGTTTGTATATGTCCAACAATGTTAGATTTAGTCGAGCTCGCAGTGAAATCAAAATGAAATTGCTATGTTTACTTGTGCATCAAAGGCAGGACCAATAACAGGATAATTATATTATAGAATATGTAAATGGAACTCATTTACATTCACAACAGGGCTAATCCCACTGATTTACATAACAGCAGGGCTATTCCCCAATTGGGATAATTTTCCATCTTCATCCCCATTAGAGCATCTCCAATAGATGATGTAGATGTATAAATAACCGAAATATACATCACTGAGGCCCAAAAACGTCCCTCCACTAGATGATGTAGATGCAAAAAAAAAAACTCAGATTTTACTCAGATGTAAAATGCATCACGAAGACACGAAGTGATGCAAATATACATCACCAGCCACGCGGCCGAGTAAAACAGCCAGCAGCTGTGCGAACGCCAACTGCCAAAGGGAAGCTTCCCGCTGCCTGCCGGCCACCGCCGGACCCCATGGCCGACTCCCCAGACCCCGGGGCCGGTCTGATGCACCTCGCAATGGCTGCCACCACGGCTCCTACCTTTCCCGCCACCGCAACCGCCGCCATGCCGCCCCCATCTCACCGCACCGGGGCCGGCGCCAGAGTGGTTGCGCCGCCGACGAAGAAGGAGCCCGCGGCCAAATCTCATGGTGGCATATGTTCCTATAAATTGATGATGTTACTTTTGTTGTTATTTTGTAGAAAATGATTGCCCGAGGTTTGTTCCAAGAAAGAGACAAGAACCAGGACAAGAAGAAGAAAGGAAACCGTTCACTTTCCATCATTGCTACAAAGAGCTCAAGGATGAGGAGAGGTGGAAGAATCTGGAAGCTTTTGAAGCTCCGAGGAAGAAGAGCTTGGTTGTCGATCATGATGATGATGACGATGACAGTGGTGAGGAGAGAAGAAGGAGCCCCACTCCTCACTCGGCGACCAAATCATATAGGCCGGATGGAAATAAAAAAGCAAAGGGCTCGGCAGGAGACAATGATCTTAAAGAAGAATTTGACGCCATTGTCATTGCGAGGAAAGAGTATGCCAAGAAAAAAGAAGGTCGAAATTGAAAGATGGAGGAGAGGAGAGAAGCCGAGCGGCGGAGGGCGACGGTCGTGGAGGGGAAGGTGGAACTAGAGGAGAGGAAGGTGGTGGACGATGAGCTTAAGACGGTGGAGGAGAAGGCACTAAAGTTTAAGCAAAAAGCGTTTGTCGAGCTTTGTCACGACGAAATGATCATGAAGACCATGCTCATGAGAAACATGATGGGAGGAGGAATGGGTGGAATGGGAGGTGCCATGGGTGGAATTGGAGGAGGAATGGGTGGAATGGGAGGTGCCAGGGGTGGAATTGGAGGAGGAATGGGTGGAATAGGAGGTGCCATGTGTGGAATGGGAGGAGGAATGGGTGCAATGGGAGGTGGAATGGGTGGCTACATGAACATGATGGGAGGTGGCATGGGTGGTGCCTTTGGTGGCAACATGGGTGGTGTCTTCGATGGCAACATGGGTGGTGCCTTTGGTGCAAACATGGGTGGTGCCTTTGGTGGCAACATGGATGGTGGCAATATGAGTGGCACAGGAGGTGGCTTCGTTGAAAACATGAGTGGCACAGGAGGTGGCTTTGGTGGAAACATGAGTGGCATGGGAGGTGGCTTCGGTGGCAATATGAGTGGTATGGGAGGTGATCCGGTGGAGGTGGCGGCATCGATGCATCAACGCATGAGAATGTCAAGAAAGAAGCAATTGATGATGATGATGCCAATGTCCATAATGTGCCAAGTGACAACGGAGAGGATGGATGCTATGTTTTATCTTATGTTTATGTGCTTTTATTTGTTGGATCATGAGCTTTGTTTGACATGATGCAATTTTGTTTGTTGGATTATGAACTATGTTTGCTATGGAAGTTGAGTTCATGTTGAATTTGGAATACTGTTGATTTTATATGTCCATGGGATGATTTTGATTCGAATATGTGCGGCTATAGTGCTGCTGCCGCGCGGCCGTTGGCCATTTTTACATCACCTGTTAGAGCGGCACCGCGTGGCTGCTGTATTTTACATCATCTGTTGGAGTTGGGTGTTTCTTGATGATGTAAAAAACTCTTTTTGGTGGTGTATATTTTATTCCAACCACTTTTTAGTGATATATTTTACATCATCTATAGGAGATGCTCTTAGTGCTCTTAACCACAAGGTGAATTTTTTCTCCTGTCCCAACGTAAGAAGGAACAGTATAGCTACCTTGTCTTAAAAAAAAAGGTATAGCTACCTTCAAAGTGTTCATAAGTACTGCCGCTACAAAGTCTCAACGCGCAAGAGCAATGCAATACGTAGATGCCACCAAATTTTGGTTGGGTGAAATTTGTTTCTTGGCATTTTGGTACTTTTTTGCTACCCCCTCCATCCCAAAATAAGTGTCGCTGTTTTAGTACAAAGTTGTTCTATATCAACGACACTTATTTTGGGATGGAGGGAATATAATATAAGATGTTATTACAACCAATATATAAGATGTTATTACAACCAATATACTTATATATTGGTTGTAATAACATCTTATATTATGACGGAGGGAGTAAAACTTACAGATCTATAAGAAACTTTGCATAGTTATAAACAAAACAAAGTTTGAAATCCACACTTCCACAATAATAGCGAAAAACATTCTAGCTTGCGAAGATAAGTCAGTGTACAAACCCATGCTTTCTTCTCGCTAACTACGAGGTCATTAGTTTCTTCGTCTAGCCTTATAATGCACACACATATGCTGCGACTAACCTGTGTTCACAAGCAATGAATTACTTCAATGAGGAATAAGTAAACAAACTTTCAAGCGGTCTAGATAATAACAATGGAACTGGGCACAAATTCGATTATTGCTTACGTTGTTTTTCAAGTCTGTAAACGTACTTATCCTGTCCATGAGCTCAAATTTGGGAAGGAATGCTCTCAGACCCTGTAATGAAGTAAGCAAATCTTACACCTGAACTGAACCATTACAACTCTATATCCACTGATGACTAAAGACGGTAAAAATGAAAGAAAGTAAGTTCTTTATTGCCTCAATTCTTGTAAGCAGTCCTCCAGTATTCCATTCGTAAATTTTGACCTCAATTGGCTCGTCAAGTTGCATAATCTGCCTAACCAAGATATATGA